GAGATTTTATTTGAAGCTACGAAACCCAACGTAACATTTTGGTGCTCCTTATAAGGATCGGAAATAATAATTCAGTATGATTTATATGAGTATTCAAGAATTGTTAAGATTAGAAAAGAATATCAACAACACAATCAACCACTTGAAGGAAATCAACATTGAAATCCTTCTAGTAACCAGAGAATTACAACAATAATTGAATACCCTCACTGAACTTCTCAGCTATATCTATATCCATCCTGACGTTAAAGGAGGAATTAGAGGATTAGTTACTCATAAAAGAAGCAAATTACCACTTGACGTAATATACTTAATCAAACAGGAAGTCAAGAAAGATTAAAAGCTCTTAATAACTACTTATTCAACCTACATAAAGACAGAAATAACCTATTAGAAATCAGAAGAGATTTACTAAATCAACTTAGAGATTTCTACTAGTACATGAATTGTGACCTATATGGTAAAATAAGGAAATAACACTCAGACAACCACTTCAAATATTTAGGACGAATACACCTCATAAAATCCTTTGATAAGTCTTGTTGAATTTGTCATCGACCATCTAGAAACCCAAGTACATAATTTCAAAGATTCTATCAGTGAATTCACTAACAATATCATGCATATACATATTCATCTCTAAGTGAATAATACTTTGAAGAAATAGGACAATATTTCGACGTTAATAATCCTCATAGTCTAGACACTGAACAAGCAGCAAAAGCAGCAATCTCTTTAGTATTTAGCCTTAGATTTATGTATTACTTTGAACTAGAAGTAATATATCAACATATACTTATCACCTCACATAATATTAACCTCTTCACTTACGGAGAAACCCTCCACTAAACCTTACAAATATGGCTATAACAGCAGACTAACTCAATGCGTTGATAATGCAAATTACAACCAGTATGGCTAACGGATTTAATGGTATTAATATTCCAACACCACTTGCAGCAGGAAGTTCTATTGTAAAAGTCAACCCTTTTTATGGAAAAGATAGCAAAGACGCTTAAGAATGAATTGAAATGTTCTTAAGAGCGAATGAATGGCCAGACAATAGAAGAGTAGCAATTGCAGCAGGAATGTTAAGGAAAGAAGCAGCTGACTGGTATAATCTAGTAAGCACTACAATTAATAGATAGGACGGAGATGCAAACATAGGATTTAGGGAAAGACTCCTAGCACGCTTCTCATCGCAAGAAAAATTACATAGATAGCAATATGAACTAATGAACCTGAAACAAGAAAATGAAAAGGTTGAAACCTATGCATCAAGATTTAAGAAGCTAGCAAACAGAGTAGATGCAGGAGGAAT